ATTTTATTAGTCAGATGTTTATCAATACATGATGGTTTGACAGCTGTTTCAGAAGATCTTTTTCTCATTCTATGTGGAGAAATTGAATGAGAGTTTCAACATTATACAGCAAAAGGAGATATTAAAAACTAGAAAAATATTGACAGAAAGCTAGAATGTTATTTGGTTTCAACTAAAAACTGAATTTTGGTGTTTTGTTGATTTAAAAAAAGACAATTTGGTAATCATAGAAATAAAAGAGATAAAAAAAGTCTCTATAATGTTAGAAAAATGCCACCAGCCTTTTAAAGTTGCATACATAATTTCATTTCTGTGTCCATACTCTTGTGTTGTGTCCATGTGTTTCTGTGTGTGTGTATGGTTGAGTGCTATGCTGTGTTGCATCTCCCCGTGGTGGAGATGGAAGGCGACATGGCGGGCTGCTCTCTGTCAGAGGAAGGCGAGTGTTAATATTTAACCGAGGGAGGCTCTATTTAGAGCCCGCCGCCTCTCCTCCTCCCTGGTGGACAGCACAACGCCGATGCCGACCGGCGCCGTTATGGAGGAAAGCTGTAGGAGGCAGCCGCACGTCACTAAGTCTCCCTGACAGAATCAGTTTGCAGATGAGCTTTAAAACGCGTTGCGCTGTTTTCCATGCCAGCATGTTTGTGTGTGTGTGTGTGTGTGTGTGTCCTGAAAATCTCTAATTTAAGAGTTTCTCCTAAGAGAGACTTGCATGGTATCCCAGCATGCTTTTCACTTGAACTCACAGGCCCATTGCAGGGCATTCAGGTACAGCATTGTTCCCCAAAAGTGCAAAATCCGACAGATTAAAACATTTCTTTCATCCCCACTGCTGTTGTTTTAACCTGATTTAAACTTGAGTTTCACAGTAGCCTACAGTGGTTTTGAACTTTTCTTTGACATCTACACTGTTTAGAAATCAGCTTTTCAAGCAGCATGTCCGGTGATGCACATTAGTTTTGAGTCTTATCCTGTTTTTGCTCATATTCAGGATCTGACGTTTATATGGAACATAGAGAATTTATGTCCCTGCATATATGACCTAAACAGCAGTTACAGATTGTCTGCTGCAGGTGTGTCTTGATTCCTCGAAATATTAGCTACTCATTTCTCTACCGACTGAGCTACCTCAACAGTTGAGGATGAACACAGTTTGGTTTCCAACTATCGTACTACTCGGCAGTGGCTAACTCAGGTTCCTAGAAGGCATCATCACATTGTCTCCACTGATTTAGCATCTCAATGTAATCACTGGTATAATGGAAAAATAGAGCAAAACCGCTTAGCCAAAAAAAATTTGTACTACATCGCCAAAGTCACCTTTATTTCAACATGTTGATCATGAGTACATAATTTAAATCATATTTTTGTTTTACTACTTCATAACTTGACCTTAACCTTTACTACTTCATAACCTGGATATGGTGTTTGTATGTACATATACATGTCACAGTTCCCCAGCTTCTGTTGGGATTCTCAAGGTTGCATATGCATTGTATTTAAAGGATGAGGGATTGTCCAGCTTTCTGAAAACTGAACATATCACCGTGAAAAACCAATCACATATACACAAGATACTGAAGGATATTCAAGTTCTGTAGGTAGTGCCATTTGCTTCTCGAAACATGTTGGCTTTCACTGCTCAATAGTAACTCTTTTTGCAAACCAAACATGTAAAATGCATGTCTGTGCCCTATCCATAGCATAGCTTGCCTTCAGATGCATCTCCTCCTTAATTGCGATGGACCTCTACTTTAATGTTTCTTGCAAGGTCATTCCATCTAGTTTCCTAAATTTAATGAATAATACTGCATATGTTTCATAAACATTTCTCTGCATGAAGTAAAGTATTACCCAGAATATTTTTTCACAGGGGGAATTGATCCCCACAATTTGATTTCTTAGAATATCTTAATCCCACCAAGTAATTAATAGATTGCCTCTTTTAAGTGCTCCTTTACTTGGAGAATCTGCCTAGAAGGCAATCCCATCTGTAATAAATTAGACGCTAATTTAAAAGAGATTGCAAACTCAAATTGAATGGCTCTGTGTGTTGTAGCAAATGCTGAATAGGTAAATATACACACATTGCACACTGACTACTAATGTATCCACATCATTGCTGTTGGATTGAAACCTGTTTTCCCATAAATGTCTTTGGAATTGATCAAGTTTGGTGGAAAAACATTCAGAAGCAGAAACTCAGAGTAGCACATAAATCTTCAACTAAAGTTAAAGACTGAAAATCACCAGAGTTGGTGTTTAGGAAGTTTTACCTTATAAGACCAACATGTTTTGCGGTTAAAACTGTTCTTTGTTTTGTTCTTTTTTATGATTACTGGCAACTTTCCCTTCGGGGGTAAATTAAGGTCTACTCTAGTTATGCTGTGCTCCATGTTATTCCTCTTAATGCCAGTTTGTTTTCTCCCTGTTGAAATGGTCTGAGTAAACAGAACTTTAAGGGAATCCATTTTTCTAAGAAATATTTGATTTAGAGGAAAATTAAATCTGCATTTTGGAGTCTGCTCATTACTTAAACAGTACAATATTGAACAAATATTCATGTAGATGCATTAATAACATTCAGTATAATGTATCAAAACGTACAGTGGTAAAGCCAATGTTAATAAAAGGCCAGTGTGCTGCTCATCTCATACTGTCACTTACATATTTAAGTGTTAAAATGAAATAACAGGCCCATAAACTTCCAGGGACATTTAAAAGATGAATCCTTTAAGTCCTGGATCAATCGTTCTGGAGGAATGTCTGCAAACTGTGGAATGCTGGGAAGTGGCCTCTCTTGACCTTTAACCTTCAGAGTGAGACCTTTTGTCAAGTGCTCGACAAAAGCTTCTCTTCAGCACGAGGAGTCCTGAGCTCCAGTGACTGCTGTGGGACAACTGACCCCTCTTCCCTCCCTCCCTCCCTCCCCCTTTTGTTCAGAGTACTTGTAGGCATATCTAAGGTGTGAAAGTGTATGCGCGCTTAAAAAAAATCTTGACTCTTTACCTTGACTGTAAATTCTTAAAAATATATTATATATTAATTATTACACATCCAAAATAAAGCCTAATATAAAATAATAGCTTGTTAGTTCAGTAATTTTGTAACAATAGTGGGGAAAAGATAACAAGGTTTAATTTTTTTTACTTTACATGGCATTGCAAGTTGGATATTCTGCATACATTAAACTGCATCAATTCCATCAACTCTCAGAAATACTGTTCTCATTCAGATTAATTCCCATCAATCCTATTTTTTTTTTCTCATTGTGAAGTTACTTCCAGTTAATGAAATTTAACAATCTCTGTAGGTGGTTCACAATAAAAGCCTTCCGAGGAAGGGAAAGGATTGTGCCCCCTGAACCATGTGATTGCTTTTAATATGAAACAGCAAACTGACAGAGCAAAGAACAGTTACTTATTACAATATGATCTAAAAGTATGGGGTGTTCTCTACTGGCAAAAAAATCTTTAAAAATACAAACAAAAAAAGTGCCCGAACAAAAAACATCATGTAAAACATAATAAATGATAAATAAAAGCCTCTCTCTCCAGTCTTAGAGAAAGGCCTGCTTCTCTCTAGAGTTGATTAAATACTCCAGACTCCAGCCTCTTATTGTGAATACACAGAATAAATACGCAGTAATTTAAGAGCTGTAACAGACCAGAAACCTTAATTTACACTAACTAGCCCTGCAAAAGCCTCAGAGGTATATATTTGTAGTTGTGTAGAGACTTGTGTTAAAACCTCCATGCATCTGTATAACTTGTATGTCCACTAATTTCCATCATGTGATACTTTCAAAATCCGGCTTGTCGAATGCGCTCTAAAGTAGAGTGGTTACCGAGGCTGTAGCTACCACATATCCGAATAACAAGTAAGTAACGAGTAAACCCTGCTGAACTTCTGTAATATTCAAGGCTAGCTCTGGCAAATTTAATTAGCAGATACAAATAAAGCATTTCAAATGTGTGTGTGCATGAGTGTGTGTGTGTGTGCGTGATCTGATGGGATCAATAGTGGTTTGGGAGGCCCAGTTGGCAGCTGCTGAGAGCAGGAAACAGGTGCAGACATGGCTGCTTGATGTACAAGGCGACTGAAATGAGATGAAACCACTTGACCCCCAGAAGAACCAATTAATTACACAAAATCTCTTGCAACAGTGAAACTCCTAACAGCTCATCTGTAGCAGATCAGGGAGGAATGCTTGGAACAACCCCCCCTCGCACCCTCCAAATGTTTCCACGGATCTGTTTGAATATACAGGATGATGATAAAGTTAAATGGAAAAACCAGAAGAGTTGAAATGTTTGCTGCTTGGCAATTAGGTGCATCTTCCAATGACGCATATATGCACAAACACAAAGAGAGACGAGAGAGAGAGAGAGAGAGAGAGAGAGAGAGAGAGAGGTGAAGAGACATAGAGAGATAGCCAGAGATTGACAGTTACTGGGAGGATTTTTAGCAGGGCTCTTCCTGAGAGTATTGTGGATCAGCAGCATGTTAGGCATGCTAATGCTACTGCTAATTATGCAACTGTGTGAAACTGGCCAGCCTCACACAGACACACACAGCAGCACCTCGGAGATAAACACACTGGTCAAAGCAGATGCAACAGAACATTTTCAGTTTCTACATCAGTACTGTCTAAACCTCACTTTTGTCCTTTATAAGTCACATCTTCCATTCTGCTCTCAAATAACAGATAGTAGAATAGTAGATAGTAGGATAGTAGATAGTAGAAGAATTAGTTACATAGTTAGGCTAGTGAGATATTTCAAAACTTGTTTGGATTTCGGTAAATTAGGAGTGATGTCTGGTTCAGATCCAGATCCAAAAGCACCATCATGTGACCATTTATAAAATACTGTATGTATATTAAAACTGCTCATTCTACGGTAACAAAAACACAAAAATTCTTATATTCATATGATTATACATTGTAAAATTGTACTGTATAATAAATATTGTACATTTATACTGAAAACATATCCATTTCTGCCAATAGATCCTCCTCAATCTTACACACTGGACCTTTAATGCTTTAATTAATGACACATTGTGTGTGAGAGATGCTCGTCCTTCTTCTCACAGTGAATATACCTTTCATCATTTCTGATATTATAGAAGATCTGACACACAGACACAGACAGAATGATGAGATGTCAAGTTGGGACTCTTGTTAGATTCCTATTTGCTCACATGCTCTAAAGTGTTGTTAAATGCAGCTGGCATAAATGAAAGCCGGAAATAAAAAGGAGGGTGACAGCTGGTCTGATAATAATCATTGCTGTGGTTTTTTTTTTCTCGTTTCCTCGTTACTGCATTATTATACAGATGTCTCAGATCTGACATGAGAACAATCTTCTCATTAGCTTAAAATGAGCTCATTCACAGTGTATCATGGTCTGATTGTATTTTCTTTGTCCATAGAGATGATGTCAGTGTGTCAAATCATGGAGATCCAGATAACCAGGTGGTCACTAGCTGGCTTTTTCTGCGTCCTTTCTGTATAGTAATTTTCGTTGCTAGTGGCAGTCTGCCATCCCTGCACTAGATTCAGATTGGATGATGAGACAAACTGGAAAAGCACTCAGACAAGTCAAAGGACAGAGTTAATGCAACATCACAGCTTCATCACTGCATTACTTCCATCTCGTCCTGTTTCCAATAAAATATAAAATACCATATGCATAAATAATGTCTTAAATAAAGCATTTCTGTTAAGACAACATTAAATTGCGTGGTAATGTAGAGTTTGGTCACGTTATTACGGGATTCAGAAGCAGAAGAAAGCTGGTGATGTTGGTTGGTGATGCCGCTGCAGTATTTTGTGTGGAATTACAACCGTATTGGTTACTCATCTTTATTCATTGATGGCATAAACATGTGAATGTGCATAGAGACGCCTAGTGGTAGGACTGGCGACATCACAAGCAGACAAAGATTTAGAAGAGGTATTGAAAATGAATGCAATAAACAGTGCATCATTATGGCAAAGTTAACTCCAGGCACTCATGTTGAGCCATAGCTTAGCGTAATATTTTGGTTTGTGTGCTACACGAACTATTCAGCTGGAAAAAGCAATAGCCAAAACTATCTGTGCTTCAGACTTCCTTTCTAACACACCTCTTGGAAAAGAACTGAACAATGCTTTGGCTGTGACAGGTATTTGCGTATGAACATGCCAAAATGATTTAACATGTACGTATTTGTTGCCTTAACACGTAAAATGTCATTTCATTTTACACCGTTAACACGACCAAACTCCAAATGTTTGCATGCATTTTAATGTCATCTAAACACAATATCTCTACGATGCTATTGGCACTAATGTCCTTCCATAATAAAAAATTGAGTGCTCTTAAAAGCCTTAAAAACTAAGTCAGATGGTTAAAAAGTGAAGTGGTTAGTACTGTAAAAAAGCCTCGTCTAGTCCTCTTCAGGGTGTAAAACACTGGTGCAGCAGTGTTGTGGGAGGTCTGGTCTTTGTGTTCCGTGCTGGATCTTCTGGTGCCTCTTGAGGTTGCTGGGATGGGAAAAGCGTCTGTTGCACACAGAGCAGCTGAAGGGCCTCTCTCCGGTGTGCACGTTGCGGTGGATGTCCAGCTGGCTCTGGCATACAAAGCTCTTGCCGCACAGCAGGCAGGTGTAGGGCTTCTCCCTGGTGTGCCTGGCCATGTGCTTCTGCAGGTCGGACTCCAGGAAGAAGCGTTTGGTGCAGCTGGTGCAGCCGTACGGCCGCTCCATGGTAACAGCGTGGTAAAAAGCCAGGTGGAAGCTGCTGGAGGAGGGTTTTTGGTTGCTCGCGGGGCGGTGCAGAGCCACGCTGCGTGTGTCACTGGAGGAGTTGATACTGGAGATTGTTCCACCGCTAGACGTTCCTGGGGTGTCACGAAGGGGAACAGACCCTACCTGCAGAGAGGACTTCCCCTGCACTGACCTGGGTCCTGCTGATTCCAACCCAGGACACTGAATAATGGGTGATGTAGTGTTTTTATGTCTATCTCTCTCGCTGCCTGCTACTCTCTTTATCTGGTCTATATCTGACCACTCACACTCCCCCACCTCCTTTTCTACATCAATGACTATCACCTCTGACAGGGAGGACTTGGAGGTGTCTAACGCGGCCTCATTATCTTTCCCACTGTCCATTACATCACCACAGAAAGGTGGCAAGGTGTTCCTGTGTGGCGTCATGTCAGCTTCCAAGTTCAGCGACTCACTGTCCCCTGCTCTGACATCACTTCCTGTTAGCTCCGGCCGGGAACTGTGGGTATTGTCATTGATGCTGTCAGTTTCATCTGTCCTGCCGACAACAAAGGTGATGACGTCGGATCCACTGACCTCCATTCCGCTGCGGCGTCTGGCTGGCCGTCTGTCGCTGGCATCCTTCGAGGTGGCGGGGAGCCGTGTGCCGGTGTCTGAATCTCCTCTGCTGTTGATGCAGGCGTCGTGGTTGGTGGTTCCGGTATCAACCGCTCCCTCCACCTTCACTATCAGCAGCTCCCCCTCATCCTCAGGCTCTGCTGACTGAGAGGACAAACTGATTAAAAATAATGGTCCATGTTTTTTGTCAGGAAGAAACAAACTGACCCTTCCCGCCCTTTTTTGCTCTGTGCTCCAACAGTTGAGCAAGCCTCGGTCAAATTTCTCCTTTCCTGTACTCATATATGCTATGTGCTAGGCTAATCTATGTTGAAAAGACAACCACACAGTTGTTGATGGAGAGATGGAGGATGGAAAATGGAGCAACATAGTCACATCTTAAGCTA